ATAGAACTAATAGAATTCACCAGCCTAAACACATTTGTAATGACACATTGTTTTAAAGATCCCTTGACCCCAAAGAGACTGAACTTTTGTTGGACCTTGCGTCCAAGTTAATTGTATGTCTTGAAATCATTTAAGACTATGTAATTAACCTGCTAGCCTACTGTGTACTCAGCCTATTTAACTTGCCGTTAAGAGAACAATACAACCAACCTGGCTTGCTTTAGATCTCCCACACAACCAGCTTTTACAACCTAGGCTAGTGCACAACTTTAATCTTAAATTATGTATTCTTCCATGTCCTGACCCAGAATATTGTATGTACGTGTATATATATATTGTGGTGATCATTTGCTGAATGCAGCCAACAGATTGAAAGCAACCGTCAAACAAATTTTACCATAAATATTGCAGGCAATATAGATATAGCTTGATAATGTCTGTTGTAATCTTGAGTGCTAGTCAGGGTCAGTAAAGCAACTTCTTTCCCTGTAAAGCTCTGTTGAGGATTCTGTAAAGAATTCCTCATTTCAGTCCTGTGACGTGTTTTCTGTTTTTCAATAAACACAGAGTAAAGCCCTGGGTTGGGGAGAGGCACAGCATGCAGACACAACTAACAAAAACTAACAGTTTCAGGCTCACATAACAGACAGACCACAGATCAGCCTCTGACCACAGACTGCAGGCAGACAGGAGAGAAGGGAAGGACTGCAATGTGGGCTTGCCTTGGTCAGAGTAATCTAAGAGGATGCTGCTTTGGCTTCATCCCTTAGTGTGGCAGTGATGTGCTTTGGAGTGCCTCTGGGTTGTCTCGAACGCTTAGTGGATGCCCATCTTTGTAAAGGAGCATTATTTTCCCTAGTTAATAAAAGACAGTACACAATTGCATGTAACTGTAGTCACAGCTCTGGGGAGGCAGAGGCAGGAAGTTTGCCATGAGTGTGCTGGGGCTACAGTGAGAGGTCCTGTCCCCAAAAGACTAGTGGATATGTCTGTGGAGACTAATCTGTCCACCTGATCAAATTAGGGGAGCATTTACCACCGAGGATGACTCCCATTGTGACAACGGTGACAGAGAACACACTGGTTTAACTTGGCCTCTCAGGGCAAAACAAGCTTTGTCATTTTTGCCTGAAGTGTGCAGAAAGCACCTGGCATGGGCACCTGGTCAGGGGCAGGCATTGTGAACACCATCTACCTGTTGCTGATAGCTTCCTGCTGGCTTGGGGCACCCATGTTGTGTTGATTCTGTGAGATATGTTCGCATGAAGTTGGCGCCTGCAGAGAGGTGCCACCCTCCATCAGTATTCTCTGCAGACAGTGAGCACACAGAACGGGCCAGGCAGGATCAGGCTTCATGTCCCACACACTTGGTGTTTTTGCTCTGCTGAGTGTGTCTTCCACCAGGAGATCAGTGGCTGTGCAGCTCATCTGAGTAGCTCATGCACGTTTCTGAGACAGACATGCCTATCTTCTTAATAATCACAGAATCAGGCTGGTGGAATGTATTAAAGAGAGAGCCCCTATTCCCTCTTCTTGCCAAGCCTACCATCTTCCAGAAATGAAGAGTGAAAAGTCCACCCTCTTTCAGGTTTGGAACAAAGAAGTTTTGTGTTCTTGGAGACCTGCAATATCGTAATTTCTTAATTCCTGGAATATTTTTTTTTTTTTTTTGGTCTTTCGAGACAGGGTTTCTCTGTGTAGCTTTGCGCCTTTCCTGGAACTCACTTGGTAGTCCAGGCTGGCCTCAAACTCACAGAGATCCGCCTGGCTCTGCCTCCCGAGTGCTGGGATTAAAGGCGTGCGCCACCATCGCCCGGCAATTCCTAGAATATTAAGAATTTTCAGAGACTGTTTTTGGTCAGCTATCATTTTCAAAAGCAAAGTAAGAGCTTATGGTTTAAAAGTGCTACACGTGAGGAGGGGGTAGCCACTGCAGCATCCCTAGCTTGCAGACAGGTCCCTTTTGGATTTGGACCAATGACAAGTCTCACTGGTGGGAGGCATGGCAGCCTTTTGTTCTGTGCTGGGTTGTCTGACGTGTGAGGCTTGTTTTTCTTTAGTGCATACCATCTTAACATGTAAACAAGTCTGTAAATACTGCAATGTTTCCTTTAGTCATTCTTAACACTGTTGAAAATGACTGTTTTTTAAAAGCATACACTGTTACAATACCTGACAGTAGCACTGTGGTGGGAAGGGGTTAGTTACCTCAGTGTCTATAGGAGACCGCTGAGGTTCCAGCCCTCATCCTCTCCCGATTGCACGCTGATAACCATGCAGCCTCTAGGGGGCAGCAGAGCTCCAGGTAAGAGCTGCACTCCTGCAGGCGTTCTCAGGCTCACGGCCCCTCCTCCTCCTCCTCCTCGGTGTCCCGCCAGCAGCGCCCAGCTCTTCCCTCTGCTTAGAGAGCCTCTTCCTGGTGCCTCCCCAAAGTGGGACCCTCTGTGGCCCAGCCTCCCGCACTCCTCTGGTTTCCTCACCCCTGTCTCTCCCACACTGAAGCCTTCCTGGCGGACCTGGCATATGGCATGTTGCCTCACAGCAGGACCTGCTGTTGTCTCAGCCAGTGCCAGGGCAAGAACATCTGAGGCCTTTGTGTCTTATAATGCCGGGTGCCCGGAAGGCTTAATAAGTAAATGCTGGAAGCAGAAGGAGCACTCCCTGTGGTGCGTATGCACATGTGTATGGGATTATCTGTTCATGTGTGTGCAGGTGTGTGTGTGTATATACATGTGTACAGGATTACCTGTGCATGCATATGCAGGTGTGTGTGTGTGTGTGCGCGCACATGTGTGTACAGGATTATCTGTGCATGCATGTGCAGGTATGTGTTTGTGTGTGTGCATGCATATGTGTGTACAAGCCAGAGGATGGCCTTGGATGCTGCTGACAGGTGGCCAGGCTAACTGAGGTGGCTGAGGGAGGGGAGAGGAATCAGGACATGGAGGCTGATCAGGTGGGGCAGGGAGGGACATTCCCTAAACTGACCTAGCGGGATTCTTGCTACACCTGGGCGATGCAGGCCAGACAAGCATGAACAACAAGCCATGGTGTAGGGGGCTTTGAGGGGAGAGTCTGTGGCGGAGGCAGAGTCCTGTGTGAGACCTAGAGTTCAACTCCAGGCACTGGCAGAAGCAGTCCCCATCACAGCTGGTTGGGACAGGAAGTCCAAGTGTCCTGGTGCACGTGAGGTGACTGAATGAGAATGAGGACGTGACGGCAAGACATGGTTGAGGAGAAGGGTTTATTGTCAATATGAGGGAGAGAATGTCCAGAGGCATCTAGAAGGGTCCAGACTGAACATGGCCAGCAGAACAGACTGGGCCATGAGAGGAGGGGGACAGGGGAGAGAAGAGAGGAGACGAGGCCAAGAGAACCAAGACAGCACATGGGAACCAAGCAGGCTGATTTATGTAGGAATCAGAAGCTGGGGGGAAAGATGTGAAGCCCCTGGGAGGGGCTTTGTAGGGTTTAGGGTAGGGGCAGGATGAGAAATGCCAGGAGGAGCCACAGGTACTGTGTGAAACTTGTGCCAGGTTTCTTGGGGACTTGACAGTGCCGACTGAGGACAGTAACTTGTGCATTTAGAGAAGTATGCACAAGGTCCTGAATTCTAGCCCCAGAATTTTGGAAAAATAGAGTTTGAGGGGCCAATTACATTGAATGTACATTGACTTGCCACTCAGTGTCTTAGTAATAAACTTAATTTTTATACATTGTTTAAATTATTTCAAATAAAATACTTACATAGTTTTTTGACATTTATCTTTTGGTCTGATTAATTTTATTTACTTTTGGCTTCTTCTGAGAAGGAGTTCTATTAGAAATGATTTTTTAAAAGATTTATGTATTTATTATGTGTACAGTGTTCTGCCTGCATGTGTCCTTGCAAGGCAGAGGAGGATACCAGATCTCCTTACAGGTGGTTGTGAGCCACCATGTGGTTATGAGTCACCATGTGGTTGCTGGGAATTGAACTCAGGACCTCTGGAAGAACAGTCAGTGCTCTTAACCACTGAGCCATCTTTTCAGCCCCTAAAAATGATTTTTAAATAAAGCTTCTTCAACAGTAAGAAAGTAATACGTGTATAGTACAGATACTAAACCATTAAGGATTCTGGGATGGATTCTGGAATGGCAGATGTGAAGCATGATGCCTCAAGAAATCAAGTAGAAAGATCCTTGTAAAGTATCTCAGAAGACATCAGAAAGACCTCTTGTCCCCTCCTGGAGTTCTCTGGGACAAAGAGGAACTGACCAGAATGAACTGAGACCTGTGGTCCTCTAGAAACCACAGAGGAGTGTGAATCTCTGCACTTCCATATTCTCATAGCCTGGGCACTAGTTACTCAGGGATGGAGACATATCTGAGGATGCCAGGCACTGGGGCAGAGGTAAGGCTTTGGTCCAGCACTCCTGTTGAGTCCAGAGTTCCTCTCTATACTTGCTTCTGGGCCACTTGCCTGGGAATCTGGGACCAGCTTCATTATCCTTTTTATGCACCCCACTCCTACCTTGTAAGGACCTGCTTTTAGCAACTGTGTCTAAATAATGGTTTTACCATTATTTTAAATATGGCTTTACCATAAATTTAGTAGTCTGAGTTGTAAAATGCACACTTGCCGTGATGGTCAGTGTCCTCCCAATGCCAGCAGCTTAGTAGGTGCCCCATGATGGGCTGCAAGGCTGGGTACATTCATTCATCAGCTCTAAACTCATCGCTGCCCCCTTGCCTCTTGTAAGTACAATTTTGCCACATTAAGGGCTCCTTGGTATGTATGCTCATCTAACCTAAAGCCACACCCTGTGCAAGTTTAGGATTTTGCCAACAATGAGTGAGGTGGAAAGTTCAAGGTTTGGCCTACAGCTTCCTAGAAGTGGGATCTTTGTAACTTAAGCAATAATGCTAGTATTCAAGGTAGTCAAGCCAGAGAGCAGGGAGAGGCAGGTGCATCTCTCCACCCGTCAGCATAGCTTCTCACAGCCTCTTCTTTCTCCAGGTATGTGTACATTCCACTGGGTGGGTCCCAGCATGGCCTTCTGGGGACACTGCTTTCTACCGCGATGACATTTGCATTTGTGAGCTACTGGCATGGCAGCTATGAAGACCTCTGGTGCTGGGCAGCACTCAACTGGCTGGGAGTCACTGTGGAGAGTGGAGCCCAGAGGCTGTTGGAGATGCCCTGCATCCGGGAGACCTTGGTGAGCAGGATCCACCATTGCCTGTGTGGGAGGGCATAGCTGAGCAAGGAGAGACTGGTTTGTCAGGGGATGGTGGTCACCAGATTCACTCAAATATGAGCAGTTCTTATCAGGCAACTTCACAGTCTGTGTGTCTCTAGGAAGCATGATAGGGGTGGGGACGGGGGAGGCTTCAAAACCATTGTTTACATGAATGGCTGGTTGGTTGGATGGATAGACGAGTGAATAATATGAATGAGTCCTGTAACTATAAAAGTCTAGGCATTTATTATAGAAAAATTACAAAATCCAGACATGAGTAAATAACTAATAAAATTGACATTAAAACTCACTCTTCTGAAGCATGTTCTGTTTGTGCATGCACACTCAACATGGCCACTCACAGTGATGCGATGGCGGTGCTTCAGCCGCCCCTCCGAGACAGCAGATCTGTGTGGAGCCCTAAGGTGGATACTTCATGATTGTTTAATTACGCTATTACTAATCATTCCATTATAAATCGTATCGATGTGGATCTCATAATCAGAATGAGTTCTCCTGAGGTAAAACTGTCAGGTTAAGGGGCTTCTCATGATCACGGCTCACTCTGCATGCTGCATATCAGCTCTTACCGCCCTGAAGACAAGGCGTCAAGTTCCCATCCTCCCAGATGTCCTCGCTAGACCTGAGTGATGCTGGCATTTTAATTTTTGACAGATGCTGTTGATGCTGGCATAGCAGACAGCTGAGGGGTAAAGCTGCATTCTTTATCTGTAGGTGTGACTGGGAAATTGAGTGTTTCCCTCTGTAGATATTGTAAGCATCACACGTATATTTTGCCGTGTAAATGCAGCAGCTGATACATGAGAATCTTGTCAGAAATCAGTGTTTCTGAATGTGAACAGTGTTCTGCCAGCCCAAAGAATGGCCCAAAAGGAAACGTGAGAGTGTTTGCTCTCCTGGCAGGCTGTAAAACACAAGAGATTCCAATGGGAAAAAAATGATTAATGTGGTTAAACTCTACCCAGCGCATGAGAGTAAAGCAAATACATCTTAAACATCATTGAGATAGAACGGAGGTATTGAAGCATGTTTCAATAAAGATAGCCACTCACAGAAGGGCAGTTCCTTCAGTAAAAACTGACACAGCACACAGCAAAGCAGCACATTGGAAGAAATCAAGTATACTCATAACATAAACATTTGGGGGTTGGAGAGATGGCTCAGTGGTTAGGAGCACCTGTTGCTCTTCCAGATCTGGGTTTGGTTCCCAGCACCCACATGGAGGCTAAAAACCATCTGGAACTCCAGTTCCAGGGGTTCTGACTCCATCTTCTGGCTTCTGAGGGTACTTCACTCACATGCACAGGCCCACACAGAGACACACACACATAGACACATAATCAAAATTAAAATAAATCTTTAAAAAAGATAAAGATTTTATTCAATATTGGAAGCCAGCATCCAGAAGGCAAGAAATGTCTATGAGGTCTATGGAAAATAGTAAAAGCCATGGCACCCTCATGCAGTGGGTCATGCAAGGCCATGTCTTAAGGACATCTTCATTCTCAAGACTGAATGCTTATCCCCAAAGCCTGAAGGCCTGGAGATCACCCTAACAATCCAGAGGGTTCTTTCCTGCTCGGGTACTCTGTTTCCACGTTCCTTCAAGAGGGCTCCAATATTAACCTTAAACAGAATATGAAGCACTGTGAGCCCTGAGTCACAAACTGATGGATCTTAACTGTTAAGGGACTATTCTATGTGACCTATTGCTGATTAAATTGGGTTGGAAATAAACCAAAGAGGAAAACTCAACTCACCAAAACACAGGATTTGCCACTTTGTAGGGTGCTGACCCCCAAAGCCCTCATGTGCTTAACCCATTTGATATTATGCCCACAATTCAGGCACCTAGGTGCGTAATAACTTTAGATACATTTTGGTGAAATAATTCTCATGTAATATTAAATTTACTATTTGTTATTATATTTTATAAAACTTTTTTTAAACATCAGCTGTCTTTTGTCCTGGAAACCTGGATGGTGTTTGTATTAATTTTCTCATTGTTGTGGGGAAGGAAGGTTGGTTTTGTCTCACAGTTTAAGGGATGTGTCGTGGAGGAGAAGGCATGGCGGCGGCAGCGTGAGGCAGTTGGTCACACTGCATCGGCTGCCTGGAAGCTGAGAGCAGAGAACTGTTTCTCTCAGTTCGTTTCTCCTTCACATTTAGTCTGGGACCCCAGTCTGTGAGATGATGTTTCCCCCTCACATGCAGGATGAGCCATTTCACCTCGGTTAACCCAATCTAGACACTCCCTCAAGACGTGACCAGAGGTTTGTCTTCTAGGGGATTCTACTGTCAAGTTGACACCCATGTTAGCTCCTATAGTGTTCCTGGCTGTTGAGACCCTGCCCCTAAGCACGGGCCAGTGTCTGAGAACTACGTAGGGCCCACTGTTTGTCTCAGTGTCCGAGTTGACCTGGGGCTGTCAGTGCACAGGTAATGCTTCCGTCCCTAGCTCTTCCATCTCTGTCTCCTCTGGAGTCTCTCTCACTGTCCCGTCTCTTCCAGTCTAGTGGAGAACCTGTTTTCCTTTGGCATTCCAAATGCATACAGCTGGAGTTTTAAGATAATTTATTTAATATCATTGTGTGTGTGTGTGTGGGGGGGCTGCATGTATGGAGGTCAGAGGACAGTGTGGTGGAGTTGGTTCTCTACTTCCACCTTTTCATGGTTTCCTGTGATAGAACTTGGGCTTCCAGGCTTCTGCTGCAAGACCTTTGCCCACCGAGCCATCTCACTGGTCCCTTAAGCTTTTGAATAAATTCTTTCCCCCATAGCCTCTTCTTCTCTTCCCATGATTTCATCACCTTTCCCCTCTCTTTGTCAAAATCCAAATAAAGACTGGACACCCTCTTGGCACTTGGTTTCATATGACTTTAATCTCTCTAGTTTTTCTGATAGTGTTTCCACAGTGTGAGCTCACTCCCTTGCCTGTGCCATCTTTGGTATTCTTTAGGGTTTTCCAGAGAAACAGAACTGACTATGTGTGTGTGTGTGTGTGTGTGTGTGTGTGTGTGTGTGTGTGTGAGAGAGAGAGAGAGAGAGAGAGAGAGAGAGAGAGAGAGAGAGAGAGAGAGAGAGAGAGAGAGAGAGATTAGGGTAGAGAATTAGGCCATGTGGTTATGGCGACTGAGTGGTCCAGACTTGGGAGAGCTGATGGTGTAAGTTCCAGGCGGTGTCAGAAGACAGATCTGTGCTAACCAGACCACACTCAAGTGTAGGGATGCTCCCTTGACCTTAGTATTTAAGCCCTGACCTCAGTAGACTGGCTGATACTGGAGAGAGTAGTGTACTTTCCTCAGAACGTAGATTCCAATGTCCATGTCACCCAGAGACACTCTTATCACAGACACACCTGTAAATGTTTAACTAAATATGTGGGGCACCCTGTGGTCCCAACCAGTTGACAAAACTAACCAACATGCCTGCTTTTTGTTTTTTGCTTTTCTTTTACCATGGCATGTATCTTTTGCCAGTTTTTGACACAGATTGACAGGTCTCTGCTAACAGGGTGGTTGTTCCTTCTCTTTCCATAACCCAGGGCCTTAGATGGGGCTCAGAAGCACAGGATTTCTTGATCTAGCTGATTGACAGTTGGACATTCTCCAGAAGACTGTTATGAACAGGAAGCCCTCAGCTTCCATAAGAGGACTCTCTGACAGGTCCCTGAGGTGATGGAAATGGCCACTATGGTAACACACAAGTCACCAGCTACACAAGGCACTTCAGATGTGGCTAGGGCCACTGAGACACTGAATTAGGACTTATTTCATTTTAAAACACTTAAAATTATTTTGCTATTTTTTGTACGTGGGTGTTTTGCTTTGGCTTAGTTAGGCTCTCTATTGCTGTGTGAAACACCAAGACCAAAAAGCAAAAGCAAGTTGGGGAGAAAAGGGTTTATTTGGCTTACACTTCTATATCCCTGTTTATTATTGAAGGAAGTCAGGACAGGAACTCAAACAGAGTAGGATCCCAGAGGCAGGAGCTGATGCAGAAGCCATGGAGGAGTGCTGCTTACTGGCTTGCTTCCCCTGGCTTGCTCAGCCTGCTGTCTTATAGAACCCAGGACCACCAGTCCAGGGATTACACCATCCACAATGGACTGGGCCCTCCCCCATGGATCATTAATTAAGAAAATGCCTTACAGCTGGATCTGATGGAGGCGTTTTCTCAGTTGGGGTTCCCTTCATGAAGATAACTCTAGCTTATGTCAAGTTGACATAAGACTAGCCAGCACATGCCTGCATGTGTGTGTCTGTACTGTGTGCATGGCTGGCACCCACAGAGGCCAGAAAAGGGCACTGGATCCCCTAGGACTAGAATTACAGATGGCTATGAGTTGCCATGTGGGTGCTGGGAATCATACCCAGGTCTTCTGGAAGAGCAGCTAGTGCTCTTAACTGCTGAGCCATCTCTCCAGCCCCCTTATTTTATTTAATTAATTTGAATCTAGGTAGCTTAATTGTGGCCTCTGGCCACCATCTTGAATTGTACAGTTCTAGAAAAACATTTTTTAAATAGCATATTTGACTGTGATAATTTTTAATTTTATTTTATATGTATGAATGTTTTGCCTGCATGAATGTCTGGGTACCACACTGCATGCAGTGCAAAAAGGCAGCACCAGATCCCCTGGGACTGGAGTTCCTGGTGGTTGTGAGCAGCCACCCGAGTGCTGACAGGTACCTTGGAAGGACAGCAAGTGCTCTTAACCACGGAACCATCTCTCCAGCCCTGACTTCAGTAATGTAAAACTGTCTTCATTAATGGTGCTGTGCCTCGTGGATGCAGCTGGTAGCTGAACCTCTTTCTTGGCTCCCTTGAAGCTTCCTTGATTCTGCACCCACGTCCCCTCATCTTCAGACATTCTCATTAGCTATCTTAGTGACACTGTCATTCTCAGGGTACCCGAAACCATTAGCATTTCCGTCTCTCATATGTACTGTTTCTTC